ATGAATGCACAATGGCGCACAAAAAATCGCTCGAGGATCTTGATCGATCATTGCAAGATTTGCGTAGAAACATCAGACCATTTGGGGATGCATTAATATTGCTTGCAGGAGATTTTAGGCAAACATTACCTGTAATTCCTCAATCGACACCAGCGGACGAAATAAATGCTTGCCTGAAATACTCTACTTTGTGACGACGTAAAGACGTTAAAATTAACTACAAATATGCGTGTCCAGCTGCAAAACGATCGATCAGCTGAGATATTCTCACATCAATTGCTGGAAATTGGGAACGAAAGGTGCCGGTTGATCTGACCTCAGGACGAACTTCATTGCCTCATAACTATTGCAATTTAGTGACGTCAAAAGAAGAATTGGTTGAAAAAGTATTTCCCAATATTCAAACCAATTATAAGAATCACGATTGGCTGAGTGAACGAGCTATTCTTGCGGCCAAGAACAAAGACGTCTACGAACTTAACAATATTATTCAGTCTAACATTCAAAGCGAGGCAGTCACATACAAGTCCGTCGACACTGTTGTGGAAGCAGATGAAACAGTTAATTATCCAACAGAATTTTTGAATTCACTCGATCTGCCAGGGATGCCACCGCACGTACTGCAATTGAAAATCGGCGTGCCAATTATCATGTTGCGAAATATCAACCAGCCAAAGCTTTGCAACGGCACGCGGCTTGCAGTAAAAAAAATTAATGAGCAGCGTCGTAGAAGCAACAATCTTGACAGGACCTTTCAAAGGTGAAGATGTCCCCATTCCTCGCATTCCTATGATTCCAACGGATATGCCATTTCAATTTAAGAGATTTCAATTCCCAATTCGTTTGGCGTTTGCAATCACCATCAACAAAGCTCAGGGCTAATCTTTAGAATTGTACTATTTAGATCTAGACACGGATTGCTTCTCACATGGACAATTATATGTTGCGTGTTCTAGAGAACCAGACAATCTCTATATCTGCACAGACAATGGAACAACAAAAAATATTGTATACCCACAAGCATTGTGAAATTAAACATATTAAAAACGTGCGCTTTCTCTTTTCTTTCTTTTCCATTTAACCAGACTGAGCCACAGCAACGCGTGGCCGGGTACAGCTAGTTTATAAATAAAGTGATATCAAACATCAACATCTGATATTTTCCATTATTCCTTTATTAACACTATCAAAACATAAAAACAATGAACAGTATTCTATGGAATTATTCACAAGATGTTTATTTTAACTGCACACACAGATAAATTAACAATCTAATAAAACTTAATATGTTTCTTCTTTTGTCTTTTGCCGTGCGGTGTGGTGCAATGCTATGGTACGAAGGTTGTTCCATACAGCAAGGGTACTAACGCAGGGTTAAGCACCAGTATTTTTCATGCTTCGCCAGCTTTAGTTTGTAATATAATAATACTAAAACATTTGCGAAGAATTAAGAAGGTGTTGCCAAAATAAGTATGAGATAATATTAAACGACGTCCAAGCTATTTGGACGAGACAACAATAAAGAAGATTGTAATAAACACATTGATAATTAAAGTAATTTCTCTTGGTAAAAAAACATTTATAACGTTAGTATATTTAAGTGAAGTACTAATTGCTGGGATGAGACATATCAACAAAGAAGATTGCAGTAAACACATTGATAATGAAGACAATTAATCCTAGAAAACTAAAATTATAATGTTTGTATTTTTAATTTTTTAACGCTAACTGGAGTTTATTATGAAACACACTTTCTGAAATAATTTTAACTTTATCTCTATCTCCAGAAAGTTTTTTTTTAATAATATTCCTCCTTGCGGTTTCATCGCGAGTTTTATCCTATAAATATTGTAATAGAATACAGTTAAATTATATGATAACATTGAATGTATTTCATGTATCCATGGCATGGATTTTTCTACCAATGCCAAACACTTTACACTGTTAAAACTACATTATTCTAATAACATACACGATGAATAATACATGGCAGTTATACATGTGTATATTGTAGTCATGTGTAAATATAAGATATATTTATTATCACAGCATGATATAAAGCCTTTATTCTATCTGTAATTAATATGTTAAAGTATTCCGAGGATAATTTAATGCTTTTTAAAATTTCAAACTGATTGGCTGGAACGGATACATAAGGTTAAATGGCGATTTATTCAATCAAATTAAGGAAGGAATAGCGCTTCGTTAGTGTTTGCCGTAATATTTATACACAACCTTGAACAAAAAAATAATAATACCTAAATGCATGGAAGTTGGGATGAAATGTAAGTTAGTTGCTACAGGTTACAGATGCCATATTGGGGGTTTGGAATTCTAGTTTAGTGTCTGTTTTCTTATAGCAAAGCCACATCGGGCTATCTGCTGTGTCCACGGAGGGGAATCGAACCCCTGATTCTAGCGTTGTAAATCCGAAGATTTACCGCTGTCCAACCGGGGTACTTTTAGTTTAGAATCGCTTACAAGCTTTCATGGGATTCCTTAAATATAGTCCATTTTTTTATTAATTTTACATTTGCTTATTCGACAAATATCAAAACACTGCCGTTTTTAGATGCTACCATCCATATTGAAAGTGAAAGAATTACAAAAGTTTCTGTAAACCTTCAACTAAAGCTACTTTAGACAGCTTTATACTCTACATCACCTCTGGTGTTTAATTAAAATAACCACGAGTATTTAGTGCTGCATAAAAATAGTGTTACGACAGCGGTAGTCACTGACCCTGGTAACACGTCATGATATTCTCGAAGGATCGGGGAACATCACGAATAATCCAGTATGTGCTAGGCGCCCTCTATTCCTGTATATAAGTGCGCCGGTTAACGTGAGACGAATCAATAGGAATTGAATTGCAGACAGAGATAGAGACGGAGTCAAGCGCGTGAATCGTTCGTTGTGAATTATAGCGTATGTTTAAGTTATAGCGTTACTGTGGAAATTAACTGTATTGCAAAGTTGTATTGAGAAAGAATAAACTAGTTTTATTTAAGAAAGGACTTGTATCGCTAAAGTTTCTGCGGAAAATTTAATTTCCATTCCCATATATCCAACATTTATCACAGTGTCATCTATTGATAGATATTTGTATTACAACCAGTCATCATTTTTAGTATGACCCATTTTTACATAGATCAGTAAAGAAGCATATTATTTTATAATGCTTCTTTTCTCTTGTTGGTAATGTCAGTTAATGGATACATTTATAATATAGCAAACTTCTCGTACGTCCGATCAAATCTCTAAACGGATAAAAAGGATTATCCTAACAAATATAAATATACATTTCACTGGCTTGATACAATAGATTTAAGTTGTCAAAAATCATAATTGAAACATTTAATGTTAGGCAAGGTATGGCTTGGTGATTAACATACCGGATTGTGAATTCGTATATTCGCACTTTGAAAATGTGGATAGGTTATAAAAGTAACGGTCTTATTTCTATTTTCATTATTATTTGCTAATTGATGTAAGAATTTTAATAATTTATCTAATGCATATATATATATATATATATATATATAAAGTAAATTTTACAGAATTTTATTACAAGTAAGAACATACTCGACAACGTGGCGGTGCCGCCGTCTGCACCATATTAAAGAAGTGAGATTTTTGTTGTAGGTAAAATTTTGACCAGAAACAATATGTTGTTGTCTTTTTAGTTCAATAGTCTATATACGTTCTGTCCACCGTGGGAAATCAAATCCTAGCTTTTAATGCTGTAAGTACATAAACTTACCTCTGATAAACTGGGAGGGGGGTGGAGTATATCATGCAAAGATTTTAAAACAAAGTTCTCTACATGTTGTCTAATTGTGACAGAAATGTGCGTTTTTGACTGAGTTTATCTTGCCCAGTTACTTCTGCTGTAAAGATTAATAATGGTTTATTATAAACGTGGGAAATCCACGGATACAGGTCCAAAATAACATGTTTGAGACCGAACTGTGCAGATCCGAAGAAAACATTGGGTGGTGGGTAGGGGTGTATTTGTTTGTTAGAGTATGATCACGACTTGACCAAGGTACAATATCCACATATTTGCTTAGTCGTGGTAACAGTGCTGATAGCAATGGCCACTCAGCGCCCGCGAGTGTAAACATATGTTCGAGAACCAAATGATCCGAATCCAATCTTGTCAGTTATTTTGGTTAAGATCTCATAGACCCTGTAGGGGCCTGAAAGATAACCAGGGCGGTCAGAAACGTTAGTTCAAGGAAATTCAAGGAAAAATTTTGCTGTAGGGGAAAACGGGAGTACTTCGATAAAATCCGTTTTTACGGCCAGGTCGCCGATAAAGAATGTCCAGTATACAAGGATTAGTAAGTATAATAGAATGCACTAGCGTTAGTTTTTACAGCATTTTAGGTTAAGCTGGAGGGATGAAGTGTCGAGGACAGGCTGGGAAAGGCTCGGTCGTATTCAGAGTAGGAATTGTCGTCGTCTCTGGAGGTGAAAGTTAGGCGAGAAAAAGCTGACTTTCGTGAGAAAATTCTCGTTGGGTCGAACGAAGCTCCCGGCTGGAGGGCGTAGGGTGACTAGGGCTGCTTGGTCGAACAGGGTTATTCTTCTTAAGTCGTCGTCGGTATGAATTCTTCTGTCTTTCTTGGCCGAGTGACTGAGGACTGTCTGTAGATGTGAATTGTTGCATTTGGTAATCTGTGGTGTTGTAAATTATTTGCCAGTTGATCTGCCACAAAGAAATTTTTCCACTGAGCGACAATGGAAGAAAACACAAGAGCCTCTCTGTCTAGTGGGTGGAATCCAGCATCACTGGCAGTGTTGTCATTGTGTATATAACTTTTAAATAATACTTTATACGGTAATCTTACCGATAAAAACTCATATCGCGAGTTTCGACAATACGAAAATTACGGAAGGTTAATTTAATCATATTTCTATCATTAAAATAAACTTTTCATTAAACATAATCTTTTTTTAGATACTTCATAGTAATTATTAAGCAACTCCGTCACGGGCCGTAAAAAATAAGTTACAGCTTTTACAGATTGTTTTTAGAACAAGTATGAGTTTTGATCACTGGTGCGATCATTTTTAATAAGTACACAAGTTTTAACGATAAAGAACGTGTATTTGAGAATAATCGCAAGTTATAACTTGTAATAAAATAAACTTAATCGGTAAGTAAGCTCCAAATGAAACAAAAAATTTAAAGGTTTAGTCACACGAATGGTACGATCAATATTTAAAACATTTGTTTGTTTGTAATTAAACACAAAGCTATACAATGGGCTATCTGTGCTCTGCCCACCACGGGTATCGAAACCCGGATTCTAGCGTTGTAAGTCCGCAGACATGCCGCTGTGCCATTGGTGGGCATTTAAAACATACGAACCTTTCGAGACAGGACAAGTCACTACGTCACGCGATGACGTTTTAATGAAATTAGTTTCTATGTGTAACCATGGAAAAGCACCACCTGGGTAAGTACTAACGAATTTTATCAAATTAACACCCACTTTTATCCTTCCACCAATTCTCACCTTGCTATCTCGGAAGAGTAATAACCGCATAGTAGAAAGTAATACAAGAAATACTATTTACATAATAGAAAAAAATATAACTTTGTACGTTAAAAACAGTCAAAGATGGATATAAAAAAACAACATTAAATAATATGAAATAGCTGAAACATTAATTCACTCCTTTGAGTCAGGTGTGATTCACTTATGAAGTTTAGTGTATTACTTATAGTAAAAAAAAGTACAAATAACATATTTGAGAAGATATAAATATTTAACCGTTCCACTGTCATTACATTTAAAAGTTTCTACTATTTTCAGTCCAATTTTGAATGGCATGCATCAGGAGGTTACACATTCGTAATGATCGATCCCTGGGTGATAAAAACTCAACCGACAGCTTACAACCATGAGACAATCGTGTTTAAAACAAGTTTCACATTCGTCTTGGTTTACAAATTTTTATCTTAACTGATGTCCCAAAGTAGACAAGATGTGATGAGTGTATTATTTATAGAAAAATTAAGAAATGAAAGCTAAAAATATCGCGAGTATTCTTGCCGAATGCCGTCATATTTGCCCGTAGCTTACTCGCATGCCTATGATTCGTGTTCATAAATAACCATTTTACAAAGGCGATGTTTTAGTAAAAACAAGTGACAATGCTTAAACCGTTAGTTAATATGAAGAAAAACACAAGTAAAGTTTAGTAATATGTTACAATGTTTTGGAATACTTAAGTACCAAACAAAATCTTCTGTGAAATGTAAATGTTTTGATAAGTACCGATTTCTAAGCTTTGAAGTGCTTTGTGTTACATTACTCTTGGAGGATATTGTGCTGATTTAGCTTGAACACTGATAACTACTATAGTACACACTTAATAAAACATATGACACATTGTTACAAAAACACTCTTATGTAGTGTTAAATTTCTTTCTTTATTTTGTATTAACATAATTGCCATATATGCAATATTCTTTGGAATGAAGTTCGATATTATTTCCCCCTAGATGGCAGTAAAAGCATATTGATTGTAGGCGTTTAAATAAAATACTGGTTGCATGTTAAAAATTTACTTTAGAAAGTTTTAGAAGCTTCGGAACTCTGTATGATTTTTTTAATGTGACACAAAATACATTACGAAGTTGAAAAAGCCTCTGACCCCAAATTTCAGAGAGACAATTTGCAGCAAGAGGAAGTGAATCATGGACATTGGGATTCCCTGTCCGACACAATAACGAAGACTCGCCCTACATTAAATATTTCAATTTTAGGTTTAAATAAACTAGGTTTGCTATATGAAACTAGTGAAATGATTATTTTTACTCGTCATGCGAAGAACATTAAAATGTTATTTATCTGATTGAACAACGGGGAGTTTGAATATATTCAAACTATGTACTAATTTATACATTGTAAATTTTCAAGTATATATTGTTTAAATGTCATTTAGATGCGGTAGGTATAAAGTAAAAAAAGTTGTTTACCAAGTCAATTTTATAATTCCATTTGACGAAATGCCCTTTAAAGAGCCAAAAAATTTATAGTAGGAATGGGCCAGATGTGCAATACAAATTAAAATCTCAAACGCATTGCAAATAGCATGTAAACAAAAGTTTATAAGCACTTTATACACACTGTTGAGTAGTAAACAAACCACCAAAGCACTTTAAAAAGTCCGTTGAGTAAAAACAAAATATTTCACAAAACCACAAGTTTCTCAATCTGAATTTATGACTGACTAACGTTTTTGGAAAGGCATAGTTCTCTCCTGGCTTCACATTATACAAATCTAAATACACATGATTGAATTACGCTACCTTGGCTAAAAGCGTTTTTCTTAGTTTTACTCAAAGTGGATGTGGCATTCGTCCCCCTCAATCCTCCTTTGTGTGCTTTTTGTAACTTGGTAATTGTTCAAACTAAATGAAAGGTATATATATGTATATATATAGCTAAGTTTCTTATTTGTAAACTTTGTTTCAGCAACCAAGTACAGATACATGTATGTAATCAAATTACGTAACCCTAACGAAAGGCATGACATTATAAAAGGGATGTTTGATGTCGAAAGCGAGACAGGAAACTCCAATAGTCATAATTTGCTTATGGGAAACATTATAGTTATCTGATTGGTAAAAAGGAAGCCAAAAAAATAGTATCTAAACCGCTGATTTTTGAAATTTGTTAAGTATTTAGAAAGGGTTAGTTGCTGATAAAACTCATTTCATATCTATAATTTGATCAAAGTTAAACGCGAAATAGGAATGATCAGAACGATGGCCGCACCTACTTTAAGGTTGCATCTTGTCAAAAACCACCTAGTGTTGTAATGTTATCCCGCCCATTCCTACCTGTTTTATCCTTATTTTTGGTGCTCCCATTCTTACTTCCTAATTTTTATTTAATATTATTTTACACTTGTGATACTTGAGCCTGTGAATGTTTTAACGTTAATATTTAGCATTTAATTTATAAGTGTTTTATTAATTTTACAGAATTGATAAGCCACCTTGTAAGTAAATAAACCTTAGTTATTCTCTTATTAGTGCAAAACTACACAATGAACTTTGTGCAGTCTGTTCACCGCAGATAATCGAATCACGCATTTTTGCATTTTAAGTCCGTAAATTTATCTTTAATAGTATGTGTGTTTTCTTATAGCAAAACCACATGAAGCTATCTGCTGTGTCCACCGAGGGTAATCGAACCCCTGATTTTAGCAATGTAAATCCGAAGACTTACCGCTGTCCCACAGGGGGACCTGTAATAGTAAAGGTAACATTTTTTGTGTGAAAAAACTAGGGTTTGTTTTTAGGAGTTACGGGGCCTTTTAAACTCCGTAATGTATTTTTTGTCACTTTAAAAAATCATACTTAAATAGAGTTCCGAAGCTTCTTAAAATTTCTAAAGTAAATTTTATAGCATGCAACCAGTATTTTATTCAAATAATCAATATGCTTTTACTGCCATCTAGCGGGAAATAATATCGAACTTGGCAATTATGTTAATACAAAATAAAGAAAGAAATTTAACACTACATAAAAGTTTTTTATAATAATGTGTCATATGTTCAACTAAGAGTGTACTATGGTAGTTATCAGTGTTCAAGCTAAATCAGCACAATATCCTCCAAGAGTAATGTAACACAAAGCACTTCAAAGCTTAGAAATCGGTACTTATCAAAACATTTACATTTCACAGAAGATTTTGTTTGGTACTTAGGTATTCCAAAACATTTTAACATATTACTAAACTTTACTTGTGTTTTTCTTCGTATTAACTAACGATTTAAGCATTGCCAGACCGACGACGATTTAATAAGAATAACCCGTTCGACCAAGCAGTCCCAATCACTCTACGCCCTCCAGCAGGGAGGTTTTCGATCCAACGGGAATTTTAACACGAAAGTAAGCTTTCTCTTGCCTAACTATCAACTTCAGAGACGACGACGATTCCGACTCTGAATACGACCGAGCCTTTCCCAGCCTATCCTCGACACTTCATCACTCCAGCTTATCCTAAAATGTTGTAAAAACTAACGCTAGTGCATCCTATTATACTGTTACGTCTCCGTTTGTTAATTAACTTTCCGTAACTTCGTTGCGACGAAACTTTAGCGACA